GTTCCCTTTTTCATTTGTTTAATAATCTAGAAAACACATACATCAGTAAGTCATTTCATACAGGCCTCTGTGTAATTTTTTAAACTTAAAAATACTGCTACAAATACACTTCTTTAACAATATTTCTATGCTTTAATTTGATTATAAAATAAAGTACTGTTTTCCTTAACAGTTGTTCTGTAATTTTTTCCTGTCATCTTTTTTCTCTTTTATTAGGTGAAGGGTGGTATTTGAAGAAGTCAAATGATATAAACTAATACACGTTTTAAAAAAAATTCTTAAAGCAATAAGGTGAAACAAAGTTGTCGTTTTGCTCAATTATGAGTCTGACTGGAGTGATCTTAAATATTGTCTTGTCCTTTTCAATAAAATGCTATCCATTAAAATCTTCCAATTGAAGATGAAATAATACAGGGATTTCTTTTTAATATTTTTCCTGAAGGCTTTGAAAGTTATTTAGATTTCTAAATGCCTGGCCGTGTTGAAGCAGGTGGGTCATGGACAAAGAAGGGTTTTAACTGAATTTGACGTGACTCGGAGCAATAGTCTTTTGTGTAATTTTAACTATTACACACAAAGATAGGTATGCCAAAAAATTATGCTCCTGACTGTAATTTTGTATGTATATTTTGCAGTAATAATCAGGGATATGCAGTTTAATAATCCTTTTCTTCTCCAAATCTGTTAAACAGTTACTGACCATGGTTTCATCTGTTGTAATTTTTTCCAAACCAGCTATTTTCATTTTATTCATTGCTATTTAAGCAGATGTTTTACAGGCTCTTAAGAATACGTTCTGGGAAGACCTATCAGGATTGTAACGTTCGATTATCCATCTAGAAACTTGCCTTTATATGATAATATCCAAAAATGTCTGCCACTTACAAGTTTTTACTGATTTGTTATATTTTCATTAATGAGAGTATTTGCTTTCTAATGAGAATAATAGACGTGCATTTTTCTGAAAATGAGCCTTCTTCCAGGGAAGAATGTAGTTGTGTACAGAGAAAGATCTCTATTAGGTACCAATAGATTTTTGAGACATGTAATAATTTTATCAAATCTAAATTCAATGTATATGTTACTGAGAACACAGTATTTTCAAGTGGTGTTAAGAATTTGTTGTTAAGACTAAGGTGTTGTTAATTACAGCCTTTAGGCATGTAGCATTTGCCTGGTTACTGGGATGTTACACAGTTAGACATGCCCTCAAGCAGTGAATAGTAAGTGATAGCACGTTGTAGATAGATGCAGAAGAGCCTTGATTCATACTGATAGATATTTGTGACATTCTTTATTCTTGGATTTATTTTTTAATTGATCCTTCTATGAGGTCAGTTACACTCCATTCGTAGAATACAGCTATGGTTGCCCTATAGTTGCTCCTGTAGCAACTACTGATGATTACTAATTTCTTTTCTCTACGGTGATAGTGAATGACCTTGTTGGGTGCAAGGTTATGGATACGATCGTGTTGGTGAAGTTTACGTGAACTGCTCTGTAATGCCTGCTTGCTTCAGCCCAGTGGACTGTTTCCAAAAAAAGAACTTGTTTTTAATGATACTTGAAAACAGCTGTTAGTTTGTATTAATTCCAATCATTTGGTATTTCTAGTACTTCTAGTTACTTAAATCCTTACATCTGAAAGTTTTATAGAAGAGTATTAGGCTCGGTTTGACACGTGCATCTTCTGGAAGCATGTTATTTTGTTCAGTCTCTTAAAGCTTGCTTTTGTGCTCAGGTTGCAAGTATGCAATGCATTTTTGTGACAATAGCCAGGGACCACTTTAAGGAAAATATACGATATTTTGTAAGAAAGCTTGCATACAGCTGTATTTTGGCCTTTAAATTAGTTATTGGCAGATCAAAGAATAGCGTTTATTTTAACACTAAATTAGGACATCCTGATCTGATCAGAACAGACAAGAGAATTTTAAAACACAGGAGGAAAATATAAAATAGAAAAAGCAGCAGAGCATGGTTGAATGGATAACTGGAAAATAAGTGAAATTGTGAAAGTCCTAATATTGAAAAATTTTTAAACAGATCGTGACTGGCGAATCAAACATTCCCCCCCCCCGTTGAAAACCATGTGAATTGAGGTTACTTCTACAGTGGGTGTCCCCTCAATGAGTTTATGGTTCTCCTGAATGACAAGGCTGAGAGGGCAGTTAATACTACTACTGCCTGTATCAACGTATACACAGATGTTGACACCCTGAGAAAAAAGGTAATTATGCTATCAGAAAGGAGAAACAAAATAATTAAGAAACAAGGAAGTTTGCTTTTGTGGGTAGTAGAGTAAAACATACGGAGGTTTCCTGTGTTGTATTGTAAGACATAATAAACAGTGACATATTTTTTAAAAATTTGGGGAGGAACTGAAAGGTATAAAAATTATTTGTGAAGACTGAAATGGACACAGTTTCAATCATGGTCTTTGGAAGAGTATCATTTTATGATTAGAAAGGCATGGAGGAGGATTATGGTAGATCAAGAAATATTATTTGAGTCTCTTCACCACTTCTCCCTATTTTGCCTCTTGACAGAGGGGCATAAAATACTATCAGCATATTTTTGTGTTCAGCACATTTTATTACTCCACAATAGTTTTATAAAAATTATATTAAAAAAAATCCTTCTGCACTAGCAGGTTCATTTTAATTAAAACTAGTGGTAATCATTAATAGAAGTCTGTTGCTAGTATGAGATACTTTGTAGTATGTTATGTTTGACTCTTAAATGAATCAAGTATGTGGTACGAGGAAGCAGAGTTGAAATCTCTCACCATTTGTATATTCTGTACACAGATCCAATGGCAGTTTTGGGACATGACCTTGCCCGTAAAGATCAAGTTAACTGGCACATCTCCCGGCTTTTTGATAACGTGTGTTCAAGGAACTTGCAAGACATTCAAACTTAAAAGATTATCAAAAGATAATCCCGTGTTAGTGATGCAAGAGAGAGTATTGTGAACAAAAGAAATACAAATTTTAGAACTTGTGTTTGATTAATGCTTCCAGTTAGTGCAATCATAAAATGATTAGCCAGATTTTATTCCCATGACTTGTTTTCCCATTTTGAGGGAAATAGGGAAATATTAGCTGATGCCACATCATAGAACATATTGAATGTGGCAGCTTAGGAAATATTTCATTCAAATCAATTTTTCTTTAATTCAAAACTTTTCTCAATATATTTCTCAGCACATAGTGAAACAATAATTAAGGCTTCATACTTAGTAAAGTACTAGTAGTCTTGTTCTGCTATCGCCTGTGAATTGTTTAGCTATTATTACTCAACAGTACTCAATGTATTTCACGGAAACAGAATTTTTAAAAGTAGTAAGATGGTGAAGCAGACAAGATTCAGTGTGCTGTGTCCTTTTTTCGAATATCTCTTTTCTCTAGTCCTTACTGGGTTTACACAGGATACTGGCGTTCTGAACATATTCATAAATGTTACATGTAGAGCACACATGTAGATACAGAGGTTTATCTCCTCTATTATTTTTAGCTGATTGCTATCTAGATCATTGCGCGAACCTTTAAAGGACGGATGTGACTGCTCCCCAAAGGTTGCGCTTGCTACATTATAACACAATTGTTCCCTACAATGCAGGGTAACAATTTACAAATGAGACTAACCTTTGCAAGAACTTTTGTGTTTTGTATAACCTTCGCCATAAGGAAATACCTCTAGAGGAACTTGTAAGATTCGAGTAGTTTTTATTCTGTTCTAGTTTTTATTCGTCTTATTCATCTAGCACAAATAATAATTTGTCTGTTGTTCAAAAAGGCATGTGTTATACATATTGGTATAGATTTCCCATCTTTTGGAATGATCACCTTTAGAGATGTCAGTTTTAATTATAAATTACTCCTACAAATCTTTTTTTCTTTTTTTAAAAATTTTCTTTCTGTATATTGTTCTATTAATGTGCAGAGATTTGAGAAATACAATACACTTTATGTCCAGTTCATGCTTCCTGATCTTCCTGAATAGAATTTATTTCAGCAGCTATTTCATGAAGGGGTCATATTGTGAGATTAGGGGCTCAAGGACTAATTCAGTAAGATACTTGAAGGAACTATGTTGTCAAAATCTAGGTATTTGTCTTAAACACTGAGTCAATAAAATACACTAAGGGGATAATTTTATGTTACAGTGTGAAGGACTGTTTACA